TGATGCTATTGTAATGGTCTAGGCTGATGGTCTCTCACTTTTTCAGCATACCCCCTAATTCCTGTGTTTATTGTTTTCATATATGTATCTACACACACATGCATACACACACTTTGGTGTTGACATATTACATATATTAGGGGAAAAAAAGTAAAAATGATGAGTAAAATTAACAAATAGAAGTGCTACTGTTTTCTTCCCTGCCTTGATATATATTAAACTTCTGGGATATTTGTAGCCCGTTTTGAACACTACTAAATAAGAGATCATGCAACAAGAACAGTGGCAATGGAGATAGTTTGGAGAAAGAAATTAGGAAGTTGCATTGACAGGACCTGTAAATTGGTTAAATAGGAGTAAAAGAGCAGGAAGGGGTGAGGAAAATCCTATATTTCTAGTTTTTGTAACTGAATAGGTAAGAGCACTGATCAGAGAGTTAGCAAACATTCTAATAAGCTAATCGTGTTTGTTAACACAATACTTCTGGAATGTGGTGCCTTCTCTGAGCGTATACTTAGTAATGCCTTTAGTAACAAAGGGTAGGGGCATGGTAAGGTGATTCGATGGACAGGTCTTGATCTGTGGTCAGAATTAGGAAGCAGAGAAATGAATGTGGGTGGGGACAAGGGTTACTTTTGCCTTTAGAAGCATTAGGATATGGCAGGATTGGTAAATAACAGGCCCCTTAACTTTAGTTGACTCTTCAAGTTTCTTTAGCTAGAGACAGCCATTCATTCCACAAGTAAATATGAATGACTTACTGAACAGACAGTAGACTGAGGAACACAGTAAGACTATTGCCAGTGAGCCTTATAAATTACCAGCAATTTATCAACTGTTAGCAGTCATTTCCATATTTGCTTAGAGGGGTATAAAATACATTTGAGACCATAAGTTGGGAGAGGATTGTAAGAAACGAAGGAGTAGAAAAACCCAATCTGTATACAGTTTTGCCTAAGATTGAGTAAAAAAAAATAAGGGAAGTTCTTTATGATGGTATTTTTTTCATGTGTGGCTATAGATGCATGGTGCTCTATCTCCTGAGATACATAGAAGTTTTCTTTTATTAAAAAATATATTTTAGGCTGGGCGCCGGTGGCTCACGCCTGTAATCCTAGCACTCTGGGAGGCCAAGGCCGGCTGATCGTTTGAGCTCAGGAGTTCGAGACCAGCCTGAGCAAGAGCGAGACCCTGTCTCTACCAAAAATAGAAAGAAATTAATCGGACAGCTGAAAATATATAGAAAAAAATTAGCCGGGCATGGTGGTGTGTGCCTGTAGTCCCAGCTACTCGGGAGGCTGAGGTAGGAGGATCGCTTGAGCCCAGGAGTTTGAGGTTGCTGTGAGCTATGATGACGCCACGGCACTCTAGTCCCAGCAAGACAGTGAGACTCTGTCTCAAAAAAAAAAAAAAAAAAAAAAGGCACTGCTAGGAACTAAACGAAGCACTCAAGTTTGAAGACGATGATGACGATGATGACGATGATGATGTGTTAGTTCCTGTGCTTGGACTGCATCTACTGTAAGCATGACCCAAGGACTACACTAATCTCCTTAAATGCCACGTCCAGTGTTAGTTTGTACAGAGCTGTGGCTGGAAAGAAAAACCAAACCCTCCAAACACCTTTTCACACGAAACGCTGCGAAGCCTGGCCCCTCACAGCGACTGCACAACTGGTTTGAAAGCCAAGGCAGGCCCTCTTAAAATATCATTCTACTGATTTCGATCCACTTTTCCAATTTCCAGAACCACGTTATTCTATCCTGTTGACCACCCTTCCAAACGTGAATAGCATGCCTACATTTTTTGTCCCAGTCACTTTAAAATGATAGATCCAAGGGCCTGTGAAGCTGCCTCGTGAACTGGAGCCCACGTCCTGTGTCCACTGACACTCTGGAATGTCATTTATCTGGGCGTGGACCTGAAACTCACTCGAAAGTGCTATGTTCCTGTCTCTTAAGTTATTCTCAGTTATAACCCTCTATCA